TGGCGGTTGTCGCTGGGGACCGCCCCCTTGGGGCCACCTTTCCCCCGCCAGCCTGGGACGGCAGAAACTCCGCGTCTCCCTGTCACTTTTGCCGTGTTCCCGAGCTAAAATAATCGCACCCTTTTTAAATACCCCCCACCTGGCTTGTTCCCGTCGCCCTTCTCTGCGTTCCCTTCAGTTGCGCAGCTTTTGTAGACGCGGGGAGACCAGCCCTGCACGCGGGATGCTCGCAGCAGGCACGCCAGGGATTCGTACCATGCGCCGCGCACGATTCCCCATCCGCATCCACACACGTGGCCCATGTATGTGCATTATGTGCACTGTGCCCAGGGCTTCGCCGAGCTGCCTGCGGCGATACCCGGTGCCTGAGTTGAGGCGGTTAATCTAGACCGGTGTTTCTCAACCGTTGCAGACTCGAGACGCTCCTCAGAAAATGCTAACTCTTATTTTATTTTTTGTCGCTCGTTTTTTGGAAAAAATACCAGAGCAATGCTTCTGTTGCAAAGAGCTCAGAAAGAGCATAATGTTTTTAATACTTCAGGTTCCTATTTGAAATCTCTGTTCCTTTTGGGAATCGTGCTTGCACACCCAACAGTGCATAAGACCCTCGTGGAAGGATCTCGGGGCACCCCAGGGTGCAGTGGTCCACTGGTTGCAAATCACCGATCTAGACTCACGAAAGATGGCTGAGGTGTTCCCATATCCCCTCCCTCCAGAGCACACCACGAGCTTTAGCAGCGGTGAGCTTTATTTGTCACTGTGCTGTTCCTTTCACCAACCTCATCTGTATCCCTCTGAGATTCCTCCAAGTCCAAACTTGTCCTGACCAAGCTACATAACTTTGCATCTTCTGCATGCTCTTACCCAACTGCTTGATTTCCAGATTATTAATACATACGTTGAGCAAAACTCAGCCTCAAACAACGTGTGTTCTACAAGGAGGTGACATTGTATTAGGTAATGATTGCCTTTTTTTAATCATGAACTCCATTTTTACGGAGAAAAAAGAGAAATGTATTAGTTCGTCTACCTGGGCGTCAGTGCTTCAGTGAAGGAACAATATAGGCAGAAGCTTATTTGTGTGTGTGTGCGCAAAGACACACTCACTTCCTGACATGCTTTCACTAGCAGGGAATGTCTCTATAGGAACAGAAAGGTACGGGGGCCGGTTTCCACTCTAGTCAAGTGTTAGCTTCTCTGTTGAGGCCATCAAAAAGGGGCTCTGGTGTTTTGAGTTGAGGCAGTTTGGCTATCGCTGAGCCAGTCTGAAGGGACGGTCTACTCGCGGCCTCAAAAGTTGAAATCCTTACAAACAGAAAATGACACCCAGAAAGGGTTTGCTCAGCTTCTGAAGTAGATCTTTCCTCGCAGCAATGGATCTTTAAACCACACGCACAAGGCTAAAGTCTTCAAAAATCTGGTGCATAAAGTTGGGTATCCAAATCCATTTTTGCCTATTTAATTTTGAACCAGTTCATGTCTGCATATGGACAGAGATAACGCTTAAGATTAAAAAAGGTTGGCTAAATATCCTTTACTGTCTGTGTTGGCTTTAAAGACCCCATGATAAGAGGAGAAGGTTTCTCAGAAGTTCTTAAGCAACATGTCTCTTCATAGATTCATAGAAGTAGGGTCGAAAGGGACCTTGTAGATCATCAAGTGCGACCCCCTGCCCTGGGCAGGAGAGAAAACTGGGCTCAAATGACCCCAGGCAGGTAGACATCAGGCCTCCTCTTAAAGACCCCCAGGGTAGGAGCCATCACCTCTTCCCTTTCTCTTGAGCCAGGTGCTAACAAGCAGGCGCTATTCATTCTCTCCTTTCCTGAGGTGTAGTGCTTTACTGTGGAGGTGAATGAATTTAGGCCCCGATTATAACATTAGATCCATGACGATAGAATCCTGCAGGTGCCTGGGCTTGATAGTCCTTTAATGGCTCTCCAGTACAGACCTGCGCAATTCAGCAGTTTTGTGGAAGAAAGATGTTGAAGAAATGGAAACTGGTGTTGTTTGGTACATCTGTGCAGAACAGTTAGCATTAATGTGGATGTTGAAAGATCAAGCACTTAAGTTTAGTGTTGCAGAGTTAGGCTCCAGCCATGAAATCACTTACGCATGGCCTGAACCTTAAGGCTATGAGGCGGAGGGGGCAGTGAGCTTATACTTTGATGATGATTTTTCTTTGTATCATTATAAATTACTGGATGGCAACTCAGGCAGCAGCGACCACAAGATGATTGAGCTCAGGATCCTGAAGGAAGGAGAGCAGAAGAGTTGCTCTGGACTTCAGAAAAGATGACTTGAACTCCCTCAGGAAACTGATGGGCAGGATCCCTGGGAAGGCCAGTCTGAAGGAGAAAGGAGTCCAGGAAAGCTGGTTGTATTTTAAAGAAACCTTATTGAGGGCACAGGAATGAAACATCCTGATGTGCAGGAAGACTAGCAATTATGGCAGAAGACCAGCTTGGCTTTGCAGGGAACTCTTCAGTAAGCTAAAACACAAAAAGGAAGCTTACAAGAATTGGAAACTTGGACAGAAAATTAGGGAGGAGTATAAGAATATTGTTCGAGCATGTAGGGATGAAATCAAGAAGGCCAAAGAGCAACTGGAGTTGCAGCTAGCAAGGGGCGTGAAGAGTAACAAGAAGGGTTTCTATAAGTATGTCAGCAGCGAGAGGAGGATCAGGGAAACCATGGGTCCCTTACTGAATGGGGGAGGCAGCCTAGTGACAGATGATGTGGAAAAGGCTGAAGTTCTCAGTGCCTTTTTTACCTTGGTCTTCATAGTCAAGGTCAACTCTCAGACTACTGCACCTGGCAGCGTATTTTGGGGAGACGATGAGCAGCCTTTCGTGGTGAAAGAATTGTTTAGGGACTATTTTGAAAAGCTGGATGTGTCCATGTGGCCTGATGGGATGCACTGGAGGCTGTTGAGAGAATTGGCTGATGTGATTGCAGAGCCACTGGCCATTATCTTTGAAAACTCATGGCAATCGGGAGAGGTCCCAGACAATTGGCAGAGGCAAACATAGTGCCTATCTTGAAGAAAGGGAAGCAGGAGAATCCAGGGAACTACAGACTGGTTAGCCTCACTTCAGTCCCTGGAAAAATCATGGCACAGGTCCTCAAGGTCACCCACAATATTCTCGCAAGCAAGCTAAGGAAGTATGGGTTGGATGAATGGACTGTAAGGTAGATAGAAAGCTGGCTGGATTGTCTGGTTTAAAGGGTAGTAATAAATGGCTTGATGTCTGGTTGGCAGCTGGTATCAAGTGGAGTGCCCCAGGGGTCGGTCCTGGGGCTGGTTTTGTTCAATATCTTGATCAGTGACATGGAAGATGGCACGGAGCGCACACTCAGCAAGTTGACAGGTGACACCAAGCTGTGGGGAATAGTAGATACACCGGAGGGTAGGGCTAGGATTCAGAGAGACCTAGACAAATTGGAGGATTGGGCCAAAAGAAATCTCATGAGGTTCAACAAGTACAAGTGCAAAGTCCTGCACTTAGGACGGAGAAATCCCTTGCACCGGTGCAGGCTGGGGGCTGACTGGCTGGGCAGCAGCTCTGCAGAAAAGGACCTGGGGGCTACAGTGGACAATAAATTGAATAAGAGCCAACAGTGTGCCCTTGTTGTGATGAAGGCTAATGGCATCCTGTGCCACCTTGGTAGGAGCGGTGGCAGCAGATCAAGGGCAGTGATTCTTCCCCTCTATTTGGCACTAGTGAAGCCACATCTGGAGTCCTGTGTCCAGTTGTGGGCCCCCCACTACAGAAAGGGTGTGGACACACTGGAGAGAGTCCAGCGGATGGCAGTGAAAATGGTTCAGGGGCTGGGGGACAGGACTGATGAGAGGCTTAGTTACAAAGAGGAGGGAGCTGGGCTGTTCACAGTGGGGGCAGATGACAGGACAAGGAGCAATGGGCTCAAGCTGAAGCAAGGGAGGTTGAGGTTGGATATTAGGAAAAACGTTCTCACGAGGAGGGTGGTGAAGCACTGGGACAGGTTACCCAGAGCGGTGGTGGAGTCTCCATCCCTGGAATTTTTGAAGACCCGGGTAGACAAAGCCTTGTCTGGGATGATGTAGGTGGGGCTGGTCCTGCTTGGAGCAGGGGGTTGCACTAGATGTGACCTCCTGAGCTCCCTTCAACCCTCATTTTCTATGATTCTAATTGTTGGTTACTACCGTGGACTCTGAGATGGGATTTTAGACAGCCATCTGTGCAGGAGGCTCCGATACAAATATCCTTCAGAAGAGGTTGCTGTTTGGTGGGGGGGTTTAAGTGGGATCTGGGACAGAACAAATAAATTGCTTTGGTAGCTGTGAAATTATGAATGTATAATGTCAGCCAGTTGAAACAGTCTTTATTTTATCTGTTAGATCAACTTGAAGCTAGACTGTTGTGAGGCTATGCAGCATGTTAGCTGTCTCTGTCACTCTACCTAAAAGGCTGGGTGTCCCTGGGAAATGTCAAATATTCTTGTCATTACATGAGTTCAGCTGTATCCAGAAAAGTCAACGGATTACCGACCTTGTGCTGAATGGGTGGTTTTGCCATTTACAGTGTAATGGTCTTGAAAGTTTACGTTTCATCTTGCAATGCCCCTTCTCCCGGTTCAGTGGCGATTGTACCCGAGATTATAAACCCATTAAAGCCATTCGTGTTTACACAGTGGGCATGGCAGCATGCAAATGAGGACACGCTGTTGCTATTAAGAAGCCTGGTCAGCTCAGCTGTTTGAGCAGATCACTCACATTAGACTGCAGGAGAGAAAACAGCTCGTCCTCTAGAACAGGGCTCGAACAGAAATCCAGTTGTCAATTGTAGCCTGACATAATCCTGTGAAAAGAAAGGGTGTTTATAGAAAGTGCAGATGCGCATGCTGGGTTTTAGGCTCTGATGGTAACACTTAGGCATGTGGTTAAGTCTTAAGCAGGTAAATAATCCTGCTTTTCAACTAGGCTGCCTGTCTGGTGCTAGTTTGGAGGACCTGGATCTCAGAAATTATAATATTCCAGTTAAAGGTCTTCAAGAGGGGATTATAGTTTTAAAAGAAAGCTGTCACCGATGTTACATGGGGTGTGAATGATACTGTCAGATCTGATTCCAGAATATACAGCGGCCTTGCATTTTCTAAGTGGCCAATTTGTTCATTCACAAGCTTTTTCTAAGAGTATTTTGAATCAGATGTACAGCGTATGAAAAGTAGTGCACTAGTGCATTAAGTTGAATACTATTATCGTGTGCAAGTTGTGACTTATTTAGCACTACATGTTAGATCAATCACCATTTTAATCAGAAGATTAAAATGATTCATTCTATAATTAGAATAATAAAAAAATACTGCATATTGCCTCTTAACCAAGGATCTCAATTGGATTTATTTTTCAGCTTATCAGTTGAGTGAATTGCTTTTATTTTTAAGCCTTTTCTGTAGTGTTTATTATGCTCGTACATGAGTACTTTCCATCCTTGACTACATTTATTCTTGCAGACCTCTTATGAAATATGAATATTCACAGTTTAACAGATTAGGAAGTATGGGGAAAGGCAGGGGAAAGGAGATTTTTAAGGCCTCTGGCACATAAAGGAAGAGTCCCTGAATCTCCTAAAAACCTTAACCACAAGGCCATATCTGCCTAGTAAGCCATTGTCTCATACTGTGCAAGGAGGCTTTAGGCAACATTGCCTTGGGAGATTCTGCATAGAAGTAGATCAGGATTATTGTCTCCGTGGGGCCTGCTGAGGCAGGGAGAGGTTAAATAACTTGCCCAAGGTCACACACCGAGTCAATGAGGCAGATGTGACTGATGCTTTTGTAATGTCCTTAAAGTACTTGGATATTCTGGTAGATCGAGTCCCTATAGCCAGATGATGAAGTGCCAGGAGCCTTGTTAGTGACATAAATCTGCCGTTAACACTTTAAAAAGAAAGTAAGAATTCTTAGGATGAGCCCCTGCAATGACACCGCTTCTCACTCGGCAAGGGCAGGAGGCATCCCAGCTGGGAGCGTATGAAGAGGTGGGGGAAGTCCCCCATTATTTAACAGCATTATCTGATGAGCACATTGTCCTCTCATAATTCCCGGAACTTGGCACGGTAGATGCAGGAGGTGAAACGGAGAGCAGCCACCAAGCTAACGCTCATCGCTGTCAGATAACAATGGCTCCATGGAAGGATGTTAAGATTATAAACCCTAAAGACCAAAGATCATTCATTTATCTTTGTAGAGGATGCAAGGGGAAATAAGGTAAATATCTCTTGAGACTGCCGAGTGCAGCGAGCCCTCAGGGCTCATCCAGCGCAGGGTGGTGCATCCTGTAGAGTGTAAAGCGATGATTGATTCATTGTTCTTGCAAACGCAACCATTATTTTCTGGTTCGCTTATTTGGAGAAACTTAGCCAAGTTTGAAGCGAGCAACGGCTCGGAATCGCCCGTGTCCACATGGCTCCTTTATAAAGCACTTTGAGAGCCTTGCTTGATTAATGAATAGTGGAAAGTGAATGAGGATCAAATGCAAATGCCTATGTTAGCGCTGTTTCTATGTGGTAGAGTTGCCCCAGTGGCAGGATTGTACTGTTTGATTAAGAAAGTGTGCCCTTGTGTTCGCCAGCCTGGTAAAACTGTCATGAAACTATACCAGGTTGTGCACAGACATCTTTTAACTGCTTGAAAAAGAAGGGGGATGGAGGTTGCCAGTCTAGGACAGGCATGAGCTGGTGTGATCTGGGAAAGCTGCAGTGATTTTGCTGCACTTGTACCATTGTATGAACTTGCAGATGCAAAAGTGGATCCTAATGGTTTATACCTGCGTCATTCAACACCAGTACAAATGTTATGCCTGGCTGTGCCCCTAAGCCTCTTGCCTCTGCTCCATTACTATCATGAGGTTTGATGGATTAAGATACACACCTAGATAGCACACTGCTTGGGTGCTTTGTAAACCTCTAGTTAGGCAGTAATGGAAAAAAATGATGTTCTACGTGCCCATCGACAAATATGTTACCCCAGGCAAGCAAGTGAGTACAGCGTGGCAGAGCAGCTGAAAGCAGGAGCCAAGCTGGAGAAGATCCACCCTTCCCTCGGGGGCTTTTGGGGGTTTTTTTTAAATGTATTTTCCTTCTGTTCCTTCCTGCAGGCCTGTTCCTTCCTGGAAACTCAGCAGAGTATTTGCATTCATAGGTTGCTGGATCTGTTCCATATTCATGGATGATACCCGATATGGTCACTGCAAATCCAGCTCTGGGACTCTGTGAACTGAGAGGTGCCTGATGCCTGTAATCCCCATTCCCCGCCGGGTCCGTTCTTTCCACGGCCCCCACACGACATGCCTGCATTCGGCCTGTGGCCCGGTAAGGACCACTCACTTGGTGCGCACCAAGTACAACAACTTCGACATCTATCTGAAGTCCCGATGGATGTATGGATTCATTCGGTTCCTGCTGTATTTCAGCTGCAGCCTGTTTACCTCCATCCTCTGGGTGGCACTCTCTATCTTGTTTTGCCTTCAGTACCTTGGCATCCGGATCTTTCTGCGTTTCCAGTACAAACTTTCCATCATCCTCCTCTTGTTGGGGCGAAGGCGGGTGGACTTCAGCCTCATGAATGAACTGCTCATCTATGGAATTCATGTGACCATGCTGCTAGTGGGGGGGCTGGGCTGGTGTTTCATGGTATTTGTGGATATGTAAATAAAATGAGTGCATGTGGGCCCAGAAGGTGATTCTTCCTCTACCCCGGAGTGTGTGAATATCCTCCTCTTCTCTTTTTTTAAATATAAATTAATTTATTTATCGGCGCTCCTTTTGGATCAATGCTGTACCTGTCTGCAGATTGATTTTTATTTGTAGATGGGCAGGGTGTTGCTTAATTCCAGGAGCAGAAAACTTTATTTTGCACAGTGAATGCTTTGCTAAGTTTCCTTTTCATATGCGGGAGCCTGTCCTGCCACCACTTCTGTAGGCAGGAAGAGGGCAGTGATTGATTTGGCGGATAGAAGCCAGCTAATTCCATATCCCACCAGGTCTTATTCTGGAGTAACTGCCCCGAAAGCAATCAAGTCACTTTTCAATTACTTGCAACTGAAACATCTCTTCTGAATTACTAGCACCTATTTTATACATATAGAAGGGGAGATTGATCGATCGAATCGATCTATATATAGATCGAATTGATCGATAGATAGATCTATCTATATGGATGGACAGATCTATCTCTATGGATGGATAGATCTATCTATATTATTTATATATATATATATATATAGAGAGAGAGAGAGAGATCTATATATATATATAGAGAGAGAGAGAGAGAGAGAGAGATCTCCCCCTCTCCTGTGTTGTGTAAGGGACTGCAGTTTGATTTGTGATATCTGACTCTAGGGCAAGGGGTTCCCTAAATGATGCTGCCATCTCAGATTAGACAGCTGCTTTGTGCAGCTCCCATCAAAGGGGAGTGGAAGAGGTTGTAGCTGAGCACTTTAGGCCTGGTTTTAGAGCCTTGCTAATTCCAGAGGGAGCTAAGATACAGGAGACCTTTGAGCTGCTGTGACTTACAGTGCGTACCTCACCGGGCCAAATCTGGTGACAAAGACACTTAAGTCATTTTTGTTCTTTCCCCACATCCCCTGCCTATGCTTTCTGAGACTTATGATACCGAATCTGACCCTAAGAGGTGATAGTGGGGGGAAAACTTTCCAGTCCTGAAGTGTATTCATCTCAGCTCAGGTGAGCAACAACAGAAGGAAGGGACAGTCAGGAATAATGCAGGATGCTCCTCGGGTTCCCTCTGCCTGCCGTATGAGCCGTGGAGGTATCCCAACCCTGGCTGAGCTGGGCAGGAAAGGACCAAACGTGGCCCCTGTGTTGCAGTGTACTGCATTACTACTGAAGTCCACCCTGCCCCTCTGCAGCCAGAGCTCCACGTTGCGTTTCAAGTGAGCGTGCTTCCCGCATCCCAAGACCAGGGGGAAGCTTGCTGAGTTCCAGAAAGGAGGCCATGTGAAGAGTAAGTCATGCACAAAATTAAATGCCAGTGAAAATGGCCCCATAATCTTTCTCCCTACAAATGTACCCAAAGGTCTGCTACCAAATGCCCCATTTCCTTTCCCTTACCAAGTCCTGAGTTTAGGGTTGTGCAATCCCATGAAGAGGGGGTGTGTGTGATTGCAGCAGACAACCATGCAGCAGGCTGTATGGGTTCTGTTCCCAGATGTGCTGCTGCCATAGCATGAGCTTGGACAACTCGCTTCAATTGACCCTTGTATTACACATCTGCAGTATGGGCATAATGCCATTGGATGAACGGGGCACTCTTTGGATGGAAGAGCAAAATGCAATGTCGTAGACACCAAACCAGTGCAAGCTCCTGTGCCCCTTACAATCTGTAGGTGCAAGTGGTTTTTATCAGCTACGGCTGTGGATGTGATGACCCTAGCATTGTCATGTTGCCACGTAAGAGGGAGTCATTTTCAAATGATTTTATTTCAAGATGTAATAATATGAATATTTGAGGTCCGCAAGACCAGAGTACTGTGTGGCACATATATAGCACGTCTCATCTTCAAAGCATTTTACAGCCACTAGCTAATTAATCCTCACAACAGCCTGGGAGGTTGCTGAATAAGTAAGATCTTGGTAGTGATTGGGAATTTTAATCAGTTTTTTCAATTCAGGGTGCTTATTAAAAAGCATTTACATTCACTTTGAAGGAAATACTTCTCTCAAGTAGTGGAGATGTTGAAGGTGACCTATAAGCCCAAAAAGGCGAAGGTGGGCAGTGAGGGAGAAACCTCTTAACCAAGCCATAACTAAGAACAGTCCCAAAAGAGAGAGGCTGTGTCATGCAAAGGCAAGTGCTTTGAATAAACTCTTTTTCCCTTCAAAGCTTTCCTCGTTGAAAAAGTCGTTTGTTTGGTTTGTTTTTAATTGGCAGAGCAGACCAAATAACCATGTGGGTAGAAGCTGGACTCTCTTTCTACGCCCCTACGAGATGGAGAAAAGGCCAGGAAAGGTAGTTGCCAGAGATATTGTATTGGAAACCGGTACTCGCAAACTCTGCCTCGCTGGGAAAGTTGATTTTTTTTCCTTTGGACTTAGCCGTGTTTCTCAAACTCGCCAACCCCTGAAAGGACCAGGTCAGGTTATAAAACAGTTGCTTCATTTAAGTCTTGTTGTTATGTTGCGGATAACACTTCACATGATTAACATTGAAAGAGTTTGAAAAACATGAACTGACTTTTCACTATTGATGCTGTTTGTTTCCTTTCACGCAATTGCATTTGGGACTGGGAACAAGCCAGCTGGTTTCATTCTGTGTCTAATCATTTTCCCTTTAATGTTTCAATGCTGCCATGTTTGAGTTTTCTGGATTTTCAGATGAATGTTTTAAAACTTGCTTCCAGGCAAAATTAGAAGAGAATAATAGACCCATTTCACTTGCTACGAGTTCTGCAAGAGGTTATTTTACCCGGCCTACATTTTGGGTCGTATCTGATCTAACGGCGTCCCTTCTAGGAAGCTAATCCTGCCTTCTTTTTTGGATCCGCAGCTCCCGCTGGTTTGTTCTGTCTCAAGCTAGTGAAGGTTTCAAGTATGTGGGGAATGCAAAGCCAAGCTCTGAAGATCTGTTGCACGGGCCAAACAGCAGAGGCAATTATACATGTGGTGACAAAGTTGCATTAGCCCTGCTGGCGAACAAATGAATGTACAAATTAACATGCCAAGTGTTTGATTTGCCTCTTGTTGACTTTTTGGAACATGGAAACAGCTCGGTGTCTTGAGTGCCTGTTAATAATTCTTCCTGAAACCTGCCACCTGCATTAAAGTTATTTTTGTAATGTGTTGATGGGTTGGTTGTTTAAGCTGAGCACAACTGGAGAGTCTTTTTCGCAGCGGTCGTGCCAGGGGTGGGGGGTGCTCTACACACACTTGGTGCAGGTGTAAAGCTGTGGAGTCAGGCCCACTATAATCAAGCCTCACAAATATCCCTGCAGGGTGGATGTGGTTGCATCAGTTGTTTTAGCTGAGTGCATTCATCCTGAGTGCATTGATTGTGAGGGGAGTTGGTCACCAGTGAAACATCCAGAGTGGAGCCTGGGTGTCCTGGCTCCCACCCACTGCTCTGCTAATCCTACGGCACTGCCAGTAATACTCATTACTCCAGTTGTTCTTCCACCTGAGGGTGTGCAACTGCTGCGCAGTGCATTGTCTATAATCACTGGCATTTTCTGTTCTCCCTTCCCTGCATGGAGACAAGTCCCCACGGCAGAGCCAGACAGGGTTTGAATGCAGTTGTGACCATGCATCGGGAGTCAGAGGAGAGCAGGATGTATCACAGGGTTTTCTCTCAGCTGGTGCAAAAAGGAGAAGTGCTGTGGGCTCCATGAAGTCTGCTGGGGACTTTGTTATTGCCATTGATTTTCCATGGACAGTGCTCAGGTTTGGCAATGATGCAAGGCACTATGAAATCCCAAGGCAGATGGATCATGACTTGTCCTGGTCTCTGCTGATTGTGTCATAAGGGGTATTCGCCCATAAGAGCTGGTAAAATGGGGATCATTGCAGGTGCGACTCAGTGGCTCCAGCTGTTCAAACCAATCCTGCATGAACACAGAGAGGAAGTGGCTGAAATTGCTGCTCAGAGGCTGAGATGGCAGCCACTGGAGGCTTGGGGGAAAGAAAGGTGGTTTCCTGCACACAGCCAGAGTATTTGGGTTTAGTGTGAGAGTGAGTGGTTTCTACTTTTAATAATACAAGACACAACCTTGTGTAAGGGACTGCTCAAACATAATGCAGATGGGTAAGGAAATGTGCCAGCTGCAAGGGCAGGGCAGTCGCATCCAATAGTTGCAGACGTCTTTGAACGTTTCTGCACAAGCACATACATTGGTTTAGTTGGGTTAAAAGCCCAGTCTGTTATAACTTGGGGAAGCAGGGATTTGCATGCCTCCATCCTTAAAACCAATTTGCACACACTTTATACTCAGGACACCCCATCCACAATGACCACACGAACAAAGGCTTAGTGAAACTGGATGGGAGCAGAACAAGTGGCTGACATCAGACTCCTACGTGTGAGCACAGCCAGACCCTGTGAGAGAGGGAGGAAGAAGGTACATCTGCCTTGCTCAAAGTCATGTACTGTGCAGGATGAATAATTTAAGCAAATATGAACGGGCTCCCTGAGCATAGATCATAAAGCTGAGCGTTTCATTTCTCGGCTGGTACATCCAAAGAAGCAGGCTGCTCCCGCTGGAGATAACGTGCCACTCATGTAGAGAGCAAGCTCAGAGTCAGTTCTGGTTGTGTTATGCTACCCCCAAATGAGAGTAGCTCCACTTTAAGGGAAGCCCATGTCTGGCTCTTGGCAAGCATGCTAACTGGGGAAAAGCTAACTTCATGCCGCCCCCCTGTTCCTGGAGAAGTGAGAATAGCTTTCACTTGTATGGCTTCAGTCACCCCAAACACCCAACGGATGGATCAATGGTCTCAAGTTGCAGCAAGGGAAATTTGGGTTAGGTGTTAGGAAAAACTTTCTCACTAGGAGGGTAGGAAAACACTGGACCAGAGAGGTGGTAGAGTCTCCATCCTTGGAGGTTTTTAAGACCCAGCTTGACAAAGCCCTGACTGGGATGATGTAGTTGGGGCTGGTCCTGTTTAGAGCAGGGGGTTGGACTAGATGTGACCTCCTGAGCTCCCTTCAACCCTCATTTTCTATGATCCTATGATATGTGCAGTGAGGACCAGGGGCCAGCTGGGCCAACTCAGAATGTGGTCCATGGAGCCAGTTTGCACCCACTGGGCGTATCTACCTGTTCATTAATTCACCATAGTTACTGAGCATTTAGCTTAGTACTTCTTCATGAAGTACTAACTGAACGTGCAGTGACTACATTTACTGCTCAGTAGCTCTGGCGCATGGTTTTTTGGTGACGGTTTACTGCGCAGTAGCCTAATAACATTGTGCAGTAGCTTATTAGCATGGTGTTTGACTGGCACCGTGTAGTAAGCATCTCGTGTAGATGTGCCCACTGAGAGTCAAGCTGGTTACCAGTTAATAGGAGCACGTGGGGTTTAGCATGGTGCGAGCAGTACAGTGGGGTGAATTAAAGGAGGTGGTGGAATAACTGATGAGACTGGAGCCATGTGGGTTTGCAACATGTATGAAACTACCCGTGCTCCTCTGGTCCTTCTGGGCATATTCTCCTTGACCTTACAGCTCTCCAGTCGTGGGGGAGATGTCGCCATCACAGTAACAAGCTGCTCTTCACCACGTGGTGCTGCATACCAAAGCCCTTCCTGCATTCAGGGCACTCTCGCTATTGCAACTCCATCGCAGCAGTTCCTCAGCTTGGGCATTCAAGCCGTGCTACCGCCGGCCCAGCTTTGTGCGGGGTCCGGTGCACCTGCATCAGCAACTTGTAGGGGGGTAGCTACTTTAATGTACAACTCTCCTTTGTGTAGACAGGATCCCAGGGATGAAAATTCACTTTCTAGGCCTTGCCCAAGTCAGGGTCCTGTGGCGATCCAGGCAGGAAGCACTGGCAGAACTAGCCCCAGAGCTCCCCTGCATGGGCGGGCACAGGTTGGGGTGTTTCCCATGCGTTCCCGCTGCATGGCAAGTGTGAGCGGTGCAACGGGTCTGCCATGTCCCGGCTGCATTGTGGGCCAGGTCCTCCTCCACTGGAACAAGAGCACTTGGGCCCTAATTCGCAGGGTATTTAGGCACCTCTCTCTGCTTGATATCAGTGGGAGTTTGCTCCTGGATATATTTGAGGGTGTACACCTAATTTTGACTCTGCTTTCACCTCCTTGTTCATCTACCCTGCCCCTTAGCCTGCCCTGGGGATGTCATCCCTGGTGGCATTAATAAGATTAACCGGCGGCAGTAGCAGTGAAAGGGAGGAGTCTACCTGAGAGCTGTTTGCAGGTAACACTGGATGTTTCCACCCACAAAGGCTTTCTTGTCTACCGGGGGCTCCTGCTGACAGAGGCAGCCGCTACAGAGAAGTCGCTGCCGGAGGAACCGAAGCCTTGTTATCTTCTCACGTCTTTGTTTAGCCAAACAAGGTTTCCATAGCTCCTGTACAGCTCCGCTGCCAGGGGAAAAATCTCTCATCGCATTTCTTCACCTGCCAACTCTCCGCATTCATTTTCTCTTCCTGCTTCAACGCTGTCGTCATGCCCAGAAAATGTCAGTCCGGAGAAAAGTTTTGTCCAGTAATCAGCCAATGAAAATTGCAAAGATATTTTTATTTGGCTCCTCAAACCATGCTTAAGTGCTAGGAAGGGCTGGGGTGGTCACAATTTGCCCTGAATTCTTGCTGTCTTGGTAGCCTGGGTGCAATCCCTGAGACACACTGCGGTTTAGGGCTTGTCTACGTGCAGATCTGAGCATTTATCCAAAGCTGCTATTTTAAGTTGCTGTAGGTTAGCTGGGGCAGAAACCTGTGTAGGTGCTCTCAAACTGACCTAAACCTGGGTTCTTGATTCAGCTTAAATTTAAAGAGAGGTCAAAGCTGAAGCAGAAGAAACCCTTCTTAATCTGAAATAAAAGTCTCCACATAGGACATATCAGCTCAATTGGTCCAAAAACTTTTCACTCAAGCCAGGGCAGCTGTCTGGAGTAGATAAGGCTTAACTTAAACTGATGCACTGTCTGTGTGTAGACGAGTTAAGCTAGTGTCCAAAAGCCTCTCCCTAGTGAAGTCTATCACCTCCTTTTCCTTATAAACAGTCAAGTTGCTAGGTCCCTGTTCATAAGTCCGTAGAAAAGTCCTTTCGGACAAAGCATTTGCAAAAGGAGAGAAGGAGGGGAAAAGTAGGGCTGGTTCAGAATAAACCAGTTTGGAGAGCCAAAGACAAGAGAGCAGAAGGGGCTGCACTGGTTCTGAGATGAAGCATCAGCATTTTGCTGTTTGCCTTCATTGCAAAATAGCTTTGGGGCCAAATTTTAAGTCCTTCTAAAAGGGATCTGTCAGTACCATCTGAGGGCTGCAAAGTGACCTTTGTGCGATGGCTCTGGTGCATCTTAGCTGAACGCCCAGGGGACGAGCATCAGCATCACAAAAGCCACCAGCACAATCGGCAGCCTTGTTGGATCTCTGCAGAGAGATCAAGGACTGAATAGCCCGGGGAGGCTGAACTCTCCTCTTGCTGCAACCCGGCTCGGAGGCGTGTCAGTGGAAGCGTGTGGAGGGACGTGCGTGCTGGAAGCCGATGCTCTGACCACTCTTTTGCTTAAAGAGCTCTCCAGCCGGTATCTTGCACAAGAGGTAATTCAGATCCGGACTGATTTCCATAAGGACTGTATAATAGGGATCAATGAAACTCCGAACTGATACAGCGAATGGTTAGTAAACCGCTTTGCTGTACCAGACCAGGACCCGTCATACCCAAGACACGTGACTGCATAACCAGGAATTTCGTATTGAGCGAGATTCTCTCCTGACCTAATCCCCGCATGCTCCACTGGCTCCGGAAAACGTGGCAGAAATGTGCAGCGTTTTCCTGATTGGGTAACTGTGCAAAAGAGTGTCACTTCTCTGCTGCTCGCTTGCTTCTTGCCAAACCCAACCACATGACAGGTGCCAAGGGCCACATCCTGACTTTGGATATGCATCAGCGAAGTTAATCATCCGCTCTGGCACATCCAAAAACCAGCTCCATGGAAGATACCACGTCAGACTCCAGGAGATGTATGCTGATCTCTTGAGCCACTTCCCACTCAGACAAATCTCCCATTGGCGCCGGTGAGGTCCACCTAAGTCAGGATGTCAAGACAATGAGAATTCATTAAATGAATCATTCCTCCCTTCAGATTTCTCACTTCTCTGGAAATG